CTCAAAAAAAAAAAAAAAAAAAATTAGCTGGCGTGGAAGCGCAAAAAAAAAAAAACAGCTACTTGCGAGGCTGAAAAAAAAAAAAAACTTGACCCCGGGAGACGGAAAAAAAAAAAAAATGAGATTGTGCCACTGCACAAAAAAAAAAAAAAAAGACCAAGACTCCATCTAAAAAAAAAAAAAATAAAAAAACCTCAAACCAAAAAAAAAAAAAAGTGACCTGATTCTCTACTGAAAAAAAAAAAAATCTACAGTAATTGCAATCTAAAAAAAAAAAAATTTCTACTTGTTGAAGCCAAAAAAAAAAAAAAATTTCTGCCTATTCTTTCCAAAAAAAAAAAAAACTCAGCAATTCCTACCAGAAAAAAAAAAAAAATAAGCCAGGCATGGTGGCAAAAAAAAAAAAATCCAGCACTTTGGGAGGCCAAAAAAAAAAAAATACCTGAGGTCAGGGGTTCAAAAAAAAAAAAAGCAACATGACGAAACCCCGAAAAAAAAAAAAATACAAAAATTAGTTGGGAGAAAAAAAAAAAAACTGTAATCCCATCTACACTAAAAAAAAAAAAACAGGAGAACCCAGGAGGGGAAAAAAAAAAAAAGCTGAGATCATGCCACTGCAAAAAAAAAAAAATGACAGAATGAGACTCTGAAAAAAAAAAAAAATGAATAATAAATTCAAAATAAAAAAAAAAAAATCACCTTCACCACTACCATAAAAAAAAAAAAAAATGTCATGGATTGGTTTTAAAAAAAAAAAAACCCAAATTTCTACTTATACAAAAAAAAAAAAAATATAATATGCAAACCATAAAAAAAAAAAAAACAAAGTGTACAATTCAGTAAAAAAAAAAAAAATCAGAGTTGTAAAACCATCAAAAAAAAAAAAAGAACATTTCTATTATCTCAAAAAAAAAAAAAACAACCCATTAGCAACCATGAAAAAAAAAAAAACTCCTATCCCCTGGCAACCAAAAAAAAAAAAATGTATCTACAGGTTTACCTAAAAAAAAAAAAAATATGAACAGAATTTTATAAAAAAAAAAAAAACCTTTTGTGACTGGCTCCTAAAAAAAAAAAAATTTTCCAGGTTCATCCATGAAAAAAAAAAAAATGGTACTTCACTGATATTGAAAAAAAAAAAAACATGGTATAGATATAACACAAAAAAAAAAAAAATGCATCAAGTGAGGGACAAAAAAAAAAAAAATACTTTTTGGCTATAGTGAAAAAAAAAAAAAAGAACATTTGTATAAGAGTTAAAAAAAAAAAAATTTTCATATCTCTTAAGTAAAAAAAAAAAAAAGGAATTGCTGGTTCATATGAAAAAAAAAAAAATAACCTTTTGAGGAACTGCAAAAAAAAAAAAAAGAGCAGCTGCACCAATTTAAAAAAAAAAAAACAATGTAAGGGCTCTGATTAAAAAAAAAAAAACCAACACCGTTACTGTCCAAAAAAAAAAAAAAGGTTTGTTTTTTTCATTTTAAAAAAAAAAAAATTTTTCTTTTTCTACGCACAAAAAAAAAAAAATCATAATACAGAACAGGCAAAAAAAAAAAAAAGAAGTATATATGGGGTAGGAAAAAAAAAAAAACTCTTTCTATACAGTCAGTAAAAAAAAAAAAACTGTGGTTAAGCACCAGGAAAAAAAAAAAAAATTATTTGTTTGGTTAGGCTAAAAAAAAAAAAATTTTGGAGACAGATTCTCAAAAAAAAAAAAAAACTGGTCTCGAAGTCCTGGAAAAAAAAAAAAATTCCACATAACCCTGGTGGAAAAAAAAAAAAATTTTGATTTGCATTTTCCTAAAAAAAAAAAAAGACCATCTTTACATATTCTAAAAAAAAAAAAATTTGAGACAGAGGCTTGCTAAAAAAAAAAAAATGGAGTGCAGTGGCGTGATAAAAAAAAAAAAAAAGCTCCACCTCCCAGGTTAAAAAAAAAAAAATGCCTCAGCCTCCCGAGTAAAAAAAAAAAAAAGCGCCCGCCACCACGCCCAAAAAAAAAAAAAAATTTTTAGTAGCGACAGGGAAAAAAAAAAAAAGCTAGGATGGTGTTGACCTAAAAAAAAAAAAATCCGCCCACCTCAGCCTCCAAAAAAAAAAAAATTACAGGCGTGAGCCACCTAAAAAAAAAAAAACTGTAGTTTTTTAAAAGAGAAAAAAAAAAAAAAAAGCAAGACATTTTGAGAAAAAAAAAAAAAATGTCACCCAGGCTGTAGTAAAAAAAAAAAAAATTGGCTCACTGCAGCCTCCAAAAAAAAAAAAAAAGCAATTCTCCTGCCTCAAAAAAAAAAAAAACTGGGACTACTGTCGCTCGAAAAAAAAAAAAACTTATTTTGTTATTTTTTTAAAAAAAAAAAAACGCTCTTGTTGCCCAAGCTAAAAAAAAAAAAAGCAATGGTGCAATCTCAGCAAAAAAAAAAAAACGCCTCCCGGATTCAAGCGAAAAAAAAAAAAAAGCCTCCCTAGTAGCAGGGAAAAAAAAAAAAAAATAGCTGGGATTACAGGCAAAAAAAAAAAAATCCGACTAATTTTGTATTTAAAAAAAAAAAAAGGTTTCTCCATGTTGGTCAAAAAAAAAAAAAACTCCCAACCTCAGGTGATCAAAAAAAAAAAAACTCCCAAAGTGATGGGATTAAAAAAAAAAAAAACTGCACCCAGCCTCATTTAAAAAAAAAAAAAGAGTGATGGGGTTTCGCCAAAAAAAAAAAAAAGGTCTTAAACTCCTGACCTAAAAAAAAAAAAATGTCTCAGCCTCCCAAAATAAAAAAAAAAAAAGCATGAGCCACTGTGCCC